ACAATGATTACAAAGTAAACTAATATCAGTTTAATTTGTAATTGATATAAAGAAAACTCTACTAACTGCTTCATTTGATTAAGAAAAGTCTACTCTTATCAAACTGCAGTATCTGGAAGGCTCCAGGTGAATTTTGAAACTTTAAGTAGTAAAACTAAGAAAAAAAGATTGACACCATTAGTTGCATCCTATTCATCTTAAGAACTATTGTTTGCATCAGGTTGTAGTTTGGGTCCATGGCGGTTAAGAAACAGAAGCTAAAGCTGTTTTACAGTTATCAGAATATATGAGTTTTGGTTCCAAAAATAATTTAAAATCAAAACTTTTTTAGTTAATATATAAACAAAAAGGTTTCAACTTTGGAATCTTTTTTAAATAGATTATGTAGTAGTTTCATGAAATATATAACAGAGCCCTAGAAAATTTTTTAAATAAATAAAATAGTTTTTAATTAGACCAGCACATTTTTATAAGTTGAGTTTATAAAATTCATACTTTATTTTATAACATTACTTTAGTTTATAACATTGATGCTATTACTTTAGTTTATAAGATTGATGCTTTAAGAAAAGTCACTGAAGCTAGAAACGTAAAATGAACCACGCCAGGTATTTCAGGTGTCACCATCATCTGAATAAAAAATCCATGTACGCTACAATAACTATATTGTCATTTCAACCTCTTCCTCTGTCAATAACTACGCAAAAAGATATGAAAACAAATGCATATAAAAAATTTGTAAATCAAAGTTTCTTTTCTAAAATCATATTTTAAAAGTAGAAGACGTTGCGACTGGATTAAACCAATCCATAACATTTTATAACATTCCAACAAGCATTTCGACGTTCATTCAATGCTGAAAACGCGTTGATTTAAGGACATTGATTTGAACGTCGATTTCGAAATAAAAAATCGACGTTGATGTATCAACATTAATTCAACGTATATAAATTAACGCCGAATAGACGTTGATTTACATACGCTGATTTATGCGTTGGTTTGGAAACAAGAAATCGACGTCAAAATATCAACATTTATTCAACGTCAATAAATTAACGTTGAACTGACGTTGATTTACAAACATTGATTTAAGCATTGATTAAAAAAAAAAAGCGGCGTTAAAATATAAACATTACCTTAACTTCAAAAAAACAACGTTGAGTAAAAGTTGGGGTAAAAGGGTCATTTAAATTTATAAATATATAAAATATAAAAACTATAAATACATAAAATAGGGTCATTTAAATTTAAATTTTGCATTTTAAAGTCACCTTCTACTTCATAGGTATCATCTTTTTGATTTTCTTTATTACCTTCTTTTAACTTCTTTATCTTCTTTTTCGTGCTTGTAGTATTTTCATTTACTTCTAAATATAGGATAAGGTGTAAACATCAAACAGGAGGCAGTTTATGTAGTAAGAGTTTTTTTATCTGTTGCTTTTGCACATAATCGATTCTGAAAAATAAATGCAAAAATATTCAAATTTATTCAAAAAAACTGAAGAGTAAGGAGGAAAGAAAATTTTCAATTTATCTTATGTCGAATGAATACTTGAAGCTTACAATTTTCAGGTTAACTAACTTATTTTATTTTCTGATTTGTTCAAGGAAAGTTTCATACCTATTTTTTGTGAATTTAACTAAGATCATTTATTTTCAACAGGCAGCCATTAGGAGAAATGAACGCTTGAAATTAAACTTTAAAACAATATCCTACCTATTATAGCTTTGTAAATATTTATTCTTCCATAGGTAAATTTACAGCTACTTTTTCCTTCAAACCAGTCAAATTGAGCTTTTATTGAGGTCTGTTAGCCATCAGCCTTAAACATATCAAAAGACAACCTTTTTAAACTTAAAATCGGTTAAACTGATTTTCTTTACAAAATTAGTATGTATTGTTGACTAAAGTAATGTTTTTGAAAAAACTCCATTAATTGAAGAATTTATTTCCATTTTAATTTCGGACTCAATAAATACGTAAATAACTGCTTTATTAATTTTTCTCCAATGCGTTATCCTTGATGACATAACAATTTATACTTTTATTCCTATATATAGGCAAATACAATAAAAACATATATATATATATATATATATATATATATATATATATATATATATATATATATATATATATATATATATATATATATATATATATATATATATATATGTATATATATATATATATATATATATATATATATATATATATATATGTATATATATATATATATATATATATATATGTATATATATATATATATATATATATATATATATATATACATATATATGTATATATATATATATATTTATTTATATATATATATATATATATATATATATATATATATATATATATATATATATATATATATATATATATATATATAAACCCAATTCTATTCGAAAGTTTTAAAGTTATATACAATAACTTAGAATGAAATTAGTTTAATTTTTACTTTCTTTGCAAATTTCAACCATATCTCAAATAATTCGCGTATTCTTTGATTAACAATAAAAGACGAATATATATGAAGAAACATATAGTTACAATTTTAAAAATTGCGATAACTTTCTATTTGATGCTCACCTGAGTTTTTTTGCTTTCGAAAGATTATTGACTGTAAATCGTTTAGCAGGATTATCTGAAATAGAATAAACAATACCTCAATAAAATGCATGAAACGGCTTCAAAAATATTTTTAACTGAATAAATAAACTTAAATTAATTTAAAACACACAACCATAACATAATGGAAAAAAAATATGTCTAGTTTTACCCTCAAAAGATATATCTTTGAGTTCAGATTTCGGGAAAGTTATTTTATTATAAGTGTTATTTTGGTAAAGACAACATATCTTTTAATGACATGAATTGCATAGTATATAAAAAAACTGGAATGGTATATTTTCAATAAAAGAAGAATCAAAAATTGTTTTTATAAATAGCTCTCTTTAAGACTTATGATACTTTGTTAGGTGTTTTTTTTCCAAATCGAACTACTTATATTTCATTTAAACGCTTGACAATTTGAGCAAGTGGCACCTTCTTACCAAAAACCAAAACTATTTTAAAGAAAAAGGCAGACATATCAAGAAGCACTTGTTGGGGAAGTGGCTATGGGACAGATGTTCTTCTAGCCACTTCAATCTCTCTTGATGTTCTTTTTTTAGAAACTACTTTCGCTGGAAAAAAGCTTCCGATTAAACTTTCCATTATAGTCATCATTAAATCTATTCATGACATTGGCTTTTCTTCATTTGTATTGAGCTTATAAAATAAATAGGTATTTAAAATTGCCCTACGAAATAAAGAAAAAGCAATTCTTTATTTGTTGACTGTATTGTTTAACGCTCAGGCAAGCACACATAGAGCTGTGCATCACCCAAATCTACACACTCCATGGTTTTATTGTAAAGAGTAACAACATTTAGTTTCACAACTATATTTCTTCTTCTGTTACGCATTTCAGTAAAACCTGCTTTGGGAAAAGAAAATAGTGATATAAGCTTTTTTTACCATCATCTACACCCAAGAAAGGACCTTTTTCTCTATTGGCAAACCTCCTTATTTTTTAATTTCGATTTAATGCAGGTCTCTGGTCAGCCTTTCCTGATGTCTCTCACTGTGCCTGATGCAGTGGTTTGATGAGCATATAGATCTAATAACAGTTGAGGAGAAGTATAATAATTGCCAATACTTAAGTGATGACATTGGTGGAGGAAATTAGTTTGGCGCAAATGACGAAAATCCAAACTATAAGTCATACCATAGGCAATGGCTGCTACGTCTGGGTCTTTTCTTCCCTTGTTGTTCCGTACTCTCTTTTGTAAAAGGCTTCTGACAATAAGATCATTGTGATCTTTTTTAAGAAGCTTTGTTTGTATTTGGAAAATATGTAGTTTATATATGTTACGTCAAATGTAAACAAACAAATGAATATATATATATATATATATATATATATATATATATATATATATATATATATATATATATATATATATATATATATATATATATATATATATATATATATATATATATATATATATATATATATATATATATATATATAATATATATAATATATGTGTGTGTGTGTGTAAAGTTTTCTGTTGGCTGGAACCCAGTTTCTGAATGTAATACTAATAATTCCTACTAAGTTCTTACTAAATCCGGCTAATCCAACCAAGTACCCAGTAAAAAGTTTATTATTCCTACTAAGTTCTGACGGAAACTTGCTAGTAAGGCTAATGGCCGATTAAAAACCTGGGAATTCCTACTATGTTCCAGTTAGAAATTGCTTTTACTACAAAGTTCCATGCAAACTTTCGTCAGGAACTTAGTAAGTATTACCAATAAGGCTTACTAAGTACTTATTAAGATTACCCAGATTTTTTTTCTCGGGTAGCTACTATAGCCAGTGGGTCTACGAGGACAGCTAGCTTGTTAAGCTAGCTGTCCTCGTACCCAATTTGCTGTTTTTAACTTTACAAATATCGATAGCTTTACGCTATCTTAAAAAAGCTAGCTATCCTTGTGGCCAAATTGCTGATCGTTGCGATTACAATTATTCGCTAGCCGATTTTCCATTGGGAAAGTTTATAAAAATAATAAGAAACTTTTAGTTTTACAAAATAGATAAAAAAAATGTAACTTTTTGTGTAATTGGTTACATTTTTCATATACCTAGTTATTTTAACAATACTTTAAAAAGAAAGTAGAATTTAAATTTTTCAAAAAGAAATCCTAGTTTTATTTAAGGATATAAAAGAAATGCAAAAAATACTTATAAAACATACTTGTATTATAAACTTAAAAATGTATACTTGTTAAGTTTTAGTGTTTGTTAAATTTTAATGTTTTTCTGCCTAATGTTTTAATGTTTTTCTAATTTAATATTTTCTACCTACAAGTATGCGCGCATGCTGTTTACAAAAAGAAGTGACGTTGCACGGAATATCGTCTATAGAAAGTTTGTTAAGTACAGAATGCTAATTATGTGCGCGCACTTAACTTAACTAACTTAACGCTGTAGAAACATGTTTAAGCCAACATTCTAATAGTCGTTTAAAAATGCTAAAAAGTAAAACTAAAAAGTCTGTTACTTAATAATAAGCAGTTTTTATTCTATTTTCAATTATTTATTGAGGTCTTTTTATTGGTAAAAGTTAATGGAAATGGTAAGTAATAGAAATTATGTTAATGTTATACGTCTATGTATTTTTAAAATAAACAAATAAAGTTTAATTTTTAATTTAGGGTTTTTATATTTAGTAATTTTTATTTTTAGTAACTTAGTTATTAATAGTTATTGACTTTTATATTTATTAATTTATTATTTATTAAATACAATGAAATCAAATTAATAAAACAATATTTTTATATAAATCAAATTTTTTTGTTTTTATTGTTTAAAACGGTTAAGAATTTTTTTTTTATAATTATTATCATTAATTGTTAATAAAAAATTGGTGACATCTTTTTTTACTCCATAAACTTAAGAACTTACATAGGGTTGCGAGAAGTCCGCCTTTTACGAAGGAAAACGCAGTAAAAAAAATATTATTATAGTTTTGGCGCTGTATTCACCTACGTATAAGCGGACGTAAGATTAGTAGCGTAAATAGTATTTACGTTAATAAATTAATTTAAAATCAGATAAAAAGGTAGATTGTTCTTTATAAGTAGCAAGTAAAAAGTTTTAAGAAAATTACCTTTTACACGAATTTATTTATAACATTAATTTAAAATACAAATTTCATCAAAAAATGTGTTCAAGTTACCAAGTTTATTTAAAACTGTGTTAACTTGGTAACTTAAATACATTTATAACAGCGTTTTTTTGGTAACTTGAATACATTTGTAACAGCGTTTAACTTAAATACATTTTTAACAGCGTTTTTTATTTACCTTATAATGGTTTACTATTTTTTTAATTCTATATTTTTACATTTTTTTTTTACTAAGTTTGCAATTTCAAGTTCGTTAAGTTTTGAAAATTTAAGAATTAAGTTTACTACTATGTAAACCCCACACTTTCTCTTATGATAATTCCCTAGGTAGACCCCTAAATATCTTTAGTTATTAACTAAAATACCTTTAGAAATTTTTAAAAACTTTTAACAAAAACCTTGCTTTTATGTTTTAAAGGACTATTTTTTAGTTAATTCTGTCTAACAAGTAATGGATTATTTTAAATTCTGATTCACGACCAATAAGGCTGCAAGCAACCATTACTAAGTTAGGGGTTACTAGAAAAAAAAAAGAGTTACAGAGCAAGGAAACGGTTGACAGAAGACATAAAAAATTAAAGGTTCTATGAGTCAAGGAAAGATGATAATGTGGATAGAGTTTTAACGGGTTGAAATGCGGGGGGGAGGGGGAAAGTAAATAAGGTTTTCTCTAGTTTTTTTATTTTTTAAGATTCAGTGAAAAAATGGGACTTTGCTGAATGGCGAGTTTAAAATTTAGTGAAACTAAATATAATAGTTCCCTTGAGCAGCAACCGTCGTAGTATTTGTAATAAAGAGAAAGTGATAAAACTTTATAACATGGGAAAGAGGGTCAAACAGATGCTGATTTAGCAATTGAATGTATATATGGTTTCCATGAAAGGTCAATCATAAACAATAATCAAAGAAGACATAAAAAAGAGGACTAAGTGAAAGGGTTGCTTTTGATATTATAGAATGTCAACAGCACTGTTATAGTTGTTTTCAGTAAATAACTAAATTTTGTTGGAGTTATAATTTACAAGCCACTGTGAGCCCCAATCTGTTATAGAAGTGAGAGCAGATTCAATACCGGTTGCCTCAAAACAATGAAAAAGAGAATACTATTTGTCAAGACAGGAATATAAAGTTAAGTTGTTAATAAAATGAGCTACTTTAGATGTAAGGTTGTCTAGAAGTACGTTAATATAGATAAGAAACAAAACAGGAACAAGGAAAGAGCTATGAGGTACCCTAGAAGTTGATGAAAATAAAAAAAAGTGGCGGTCATCTAGAATGACTTTAATAAAGCAGAAAAAAAAAACGTTTTAATAATTGCAAAAACTTTCACTGATACACGAAATGAAACAAGCTCATAGAGAAAAACAGCATGCCAAACTTTGTTAAAAACCTTAAATATGTCAAGTGCAAAAGCCTTAGCCTCTCGACCTCCATCTAATGCAGGATAAAATCTTTCAGTCAAAGCATTTAGCGTGCTAGTCGTAAAGCAAAAGGATTGAAAACTGTATTGATTTTTTGACAGTAAGTAATTTGATTCAAGATGGAAAATGAGATATTTGTTTATCAAAGACTCAAAGACCTTGCTATGGACAGAAAAATAAATGATCAGACAATTAATGTAGAGTTCAGAATGTAAACAGGAGTTTTTGAAAATTGGAACAACAGATACCATTTTCTAGCAAGTCTGAAAACATTACTCAGTCAAGCACTTATTAAATAGTTTAAAGAGAGTTAAAGAGAGTTTATGACAACAACTTTATTAACTATGACAGGAGTGATGTTTGCACCACAGCAATGGAAGAGTTTAATCAAGATATGACATTAGCAACGGAAGCCGGAGTAGTTTGAATGTGTAACAATTAGATTACCTATTTAACTGGAATGGAAAGAAAAGAATGGCCATAAGACTCGAAACTTGATTTAGAAGAAAAGTTCTTAGCAAATAATTATCCTTAGAAGATGAATTAAGATCACTCCCATGAATAACAAAGTTATGTCATTATGCATTCCATTACTAACAAATGTAACGTTAGATTTAATTTTTGCTAAAAAGGCTCTTAAAGATTTTACTAAAGTCTCTATAGCCTAACTTTTGAGATAAGATACGATGTTTATTGAACTGAAAGTAATGGAGGTTATCATTTGACAGCGCCTTTTTACATCAGTATCTTTAAATTAAAAATGGTTACGGTTAGATATAGCAACTGCACTAGAGGGTAAAAAACCATTGATTAGAATTAGACTTGACTTAAAACCAACAAGAAGGAATAAAAACGTCCATTCCTGCCTGAATCCATTAGGTTATGTAGAAGAAACATTTTTCAGCAGAGAAAAAAAAAATATTATCCCTCAAACAAGAAATACGGCAGTCACTTAAAGGGCAGTTGTAAGTAGTATGATGATAGGTAGTAGTAATAAGTATGATATTCGGGTGAGTCTGAAAAGGAAGTACGAAAGGAAAAATTTAAAAAGATTCTTGCACTGTAAGAACTACCTTAAGGGGAAAAAGAAGAAACTAAACATAAACTAGGATCAGAGACCAGACATAAATCAAGGTTTAAAGGTAAATAAATAGGGTTGTCTGGAAAACTAGTCACAAAGTTAACTGTCTAAGAAAAAGATTGATAACTGCAGAAGTTATAGGCGTTCAGTGTGATTAGCACACTCACCCATAAAAACAATATTGAAAGTGTGGTAAAGAGAGAGGGCATGGTCAATTTGATTAGAAGAGACATCTAAAAGATTTAGTCTGGTTAAGAGGGAGAATGATAAAGAAAACAAAGGAAGGCTTCAGAGTGATGATGTGCTTAGTGGAAGCACATAAAAGAATGGTCAAAGGATTTTACCCGAAATTCATGAAAAATGGGTAAATTGATGCGTATGTATACCCCAAGCCGAGCTTGTGACAATTGGAGTCTTTGCAAATCAAAGAATGATATCCATCATACTAAGATCAGATAAAAGAATGGAAGAATTTAAATTAGGCTCACTAAGAGCAAGCAAGTCTTGTAAAGGTTAAAAGTGGTAAAATTCAACTGATGTAAGGTTGCCTGGCAGAGCACAAATATAAGTAAATATTATATTAAAGCAGTTAGGTGGTGGTGGTGGTTTTTTTATGTTTAATATTTTTGGTAACTTTGGCATGTTTAAAGTTTAATGAGATATTGACTCATTCATAGATATTGCCTGGTATTTTAAGCAATGAACTAAGCATTTCTTTTAGCTTTGTTAACGAACCCTAATATATGACTCATTATATGGCCTTGACAATGCGTACCAAAAGCACTAAAAAGGACACCATCCATAGTCAACATGGCAGTTTTAAAACTCTAATATTTTGTAATTGTTGATGAAATAGGCCTCTCTGAATGCTTTCACAGAGTTTGGATATCTTTACTACTAGTCGGCCTGAGAACCATCGAACTGAGTTATAATAAGAAGAGTTGCATAGCCACTATCAAGGATACGCAAGCATAAGCCTATGAGAAAAACCAGTAAAACTCAATTTTAAAAAAGCTAAAAAAAATGCATAACCAAGAGAGTTTTCTATTCATTAACTATTTAATAAAAATTACTATAAATAATAATATTAGCAAATTGCTATTAATAAATAGCAATTAAATAACTAATATAAATAATTTATAATCAAATAATTTCGATTATAAATATTAATTATTAATTAGCAGATAAAGATAGCATTTTTTATTTTTTTCTATTATATAAAGAATTAAGAAAAAATGTCAAATATAGCAAAAATATTTTAAAAAGCAAAGAAACGTTATTATTTGGTTATCGAAAATTTCAATTGTTGTTAAATTATTATAAAACATGTAATGTTTTTTGTCAGCTTGAATAAAATTCGATAATTAAAAAAAGAATACAAAAAAATCTTAAAAAAAGAATACAAAAGTTGAAAAATTACTTTTGGATAGAATTTTTTATAGTTTACTAAAAAGAACTTTGATATTTCATAACAATTTTGTTTCTTTTTTTTTACTCAGTAGATAAGGTCGGCTTTTAGCAAAAAGCAAAAACATGCAAACTGTCACAATCAGTGTGTGTGTATATATATATATATATATATATATATATATATATATATATATATATATATATATATATATATATATATATATATATATATATATATATATATATATATATATATATATATATATATATATATATATATATATATATATATATATATATATATATATTTATATCAGAAACAGATCCATTTTAAAAAATGCATTTAAAATGCTTTTTTTTTTAAATGGATTTTCAATGCAATTTAAAATTATATTAAGGAAAAAATTATATTAAACTATATAAAGGAAAAAATTAAAATAGACAAAACTTTAACTGAAAAAAGAAACATTCTTAATGAAAAACTAAGAAAAAAAGAATAAATCAGGGATAACAAAAGCATACAACTATTGTGTTTT